AAAAAAAAAAAAAAAAAAAAAGAAAAGAAAAAACTTTAAATTTAGTAAGAAATAATTTTTTTTTCCAGCCGGGCACAGTGGCTCACGCCTGTAATCCCAGCACTTTGGGAGGCCAAGGCGGGTGGATCACGAGGTCAGAAGATCGAGACCATCCTGGCGAACACAGTGAAACCCCATCTCTACTAAAAATACAAAAAATTAGCCGGACGTGGTGCTGGGCGCCTGTAGTCCCAGCTACTCGGGAGGCTGAGGCAAGAGAATGGTGTGAACCTGTGAGGCGGAACTTGCAGTGAGCCGAGATCTCGCCACTGCACTCCAGCCTGAGCAACAGAGCGAGACTCCGTCTCAAAAAAAAAAAAAAAAGAAATCTTTTTTTTTCCTTTTCAAAAACATTTCATATTTTAGTTTAAAAATGGAAGATTTGGGAGTGACTGCAAATGGTTAAATAAATAAATAAATAAAAAGGCTGAGGCAGGAGGATCACTTGAGCCTGGGAGGTCGAGGCTGCAGTGATCTCACTACTGCATTCCAACCTGGGTGACAGAGCTAGACCCTGTCTTGAAAAAAAAAGAGGGGCCGGGCCTAGTGGCTCACACCTGTAATCCCAGCACTTTGGGAGGCCGAGGCAGGCAGATCACAAGGTCAAGAGATCAAGACCAGCCTAGCCAACATGGTGAAACCCTGTCTCTGTTAAAAATACAAAAAAAAATTAGCCGGGCACAGTGGCTCACGCCTGTAATCCCAGCTACTCGGGAGGCTGAGGCAGGATAATTGCTTGAACGCGGGAGCCAAGATCGCACCATTGCACTCCAGCCTGGGCAATACAGCAAGACTCCGTCTCAAAAAAAAAGGGAAGAGTTGAGTGTTTTTCTAGGTGTTTAATGTGAAGAACAAGTGAAGAGCCGCGGAACGGTCCCTGCAGACAGTAACTAACGTCAAACGTCTCTGCCCCAGGCAGGTTAGGGACAAGACAGAATGAGGGTGGGGAGGGGGGCTTGGGGAGTAGAGCCACGGTCTCCACGCTCTGCTCCCCCCACGGCCACAGTAGAGCCCTGTAAACCTCAGGCTATGACAGCAGGATCCTGAAGCCCATGCAGGCTCTGAACCACACGGCCATCCGGAAGAGGTGGGGTAAGTGTTGGGGAAACCCCCTACCCACCGCAAGCCCTGGCGCCGCCTCCCGCCTCCTACACCCCTCCCCCACACAACTGGCCCTGGAGGCTGCTGGAGCTGGGGTTACCCCGTGAGGACCCTCACGCTCTCTGCTCCCCTCCTTCTCCATCCCCCTCCCCCAAGAGCTGTGAAACCAACTCACCAGACTGACAGATGCAGGTGCGCGGGAGGCGGCGGGAGGCGGCGGGAGGCGGCGGGAGGCGGAGGTGGGGGTGGTGCCAGCAGCCAATGGGTTAATGGTCCCGTCAGGGGCTCCACAGCGGACCAGGGGTCAGATGTCTCTCTAAGATGGGGACAGGCATGTGGGCTGCTATTCTAGGGCTCTGATCACGGCTGTCTATTTATAGCACTGGTGGGGGCCGCCTCACATAGGCAGCAGAGAGGCTGCCCTGCTGCAATGTCACCGTCGTCACCGCCTCTGCAGGCTGCGGGCACCTGCCACTACCGCAGGGAACTGAGGGGTCTTGGTCCAGCAGGGACCCCAGGGCCTCGGAGCACTGTGTGAGCCGGAAACGTGACTGGCCAGATGGGCAGCGCCATGGAGCCCCCTGGGAGTGCATACCTGCACCTGGGCGCCGTGACGTCCCCTGTGGGCACAGCCCGCGTGCTGCAGCTGGCCTTTGGCTGCACCACCTTCAGCCTGGTGGCCCACCGGGGTGGCTTCACGGGCGTCCAGGGCACCTTCTGCATGGCTGCCTGGGGTTTCTGCTTTGCTGTCTCCGCACTGGTGGTGACCTGTGAGTTCACACGGCTCCACGGCTGCCTGCGGCTCTCCTGGGGCAACTTCACCGCCGCCTTCGCCATGCTGGCCACCCTGCTGTGCGCCACGGCTGCGGTCCTGTACCCGCTGTA